GACCAATGCAAGGGCTTGGTGCTTGCAGCTCAGTTTGGGCGGGCGACCAGGTTTGCCGAAGCCGGACTTCCACTGGTAGTGCTTGGAGAACTCTTGCAGAAGGATGTGGAAGGCGTCCGGGGGGATGGAGACGGTAGCGATAAAAGAACTTGGTTTCATGGATGCGTATATTATCATCCATGGACTGTTGTCGGGCGGGATTAAGGCGTCGCACGTCAGGTAGTGCCTCTCCTTGATTGAGACTCTTGCCCGGTACAGCCTTATTGCAGCGATGGACTGCGTAGAGTCGTCGTCGTCATCGTCATCAAGTACGTCCATCCATCTCCAGCGCTTCATGGATGATTTTTCCGAATGACTATCCGTACTATTTGTGCCACCACCAGTTCTTTTTTGATGAGACGCTTTTTCCGTCTCATCAATTTTTGCGCTGCAACTGAATTTTAATTCCGGATGATTGACCCGACACAAATATAGTTTGCGCCGGTTTCCGAAGCCATCCAATGGTCGATCACATTAATTATTTGGGATTCTCAAAAAAACAACCCACCTTTTGCTCGAAAATAGTCTGCTTTCCTCAGGAAAGGGATCAATACATCGCATGGAATCGACCGTCGTTTAAATCTGTGTGTGATGCATGAATGGTGCTGCGCAGGACGACTCTGTCGCAGCGCAACAAGACAGCCCACTTGTTCCGTTTCGAGCAACACGCGACCTCGTGCGTGCATCTCAAGCCCATCAACCCCTACGTAACTATGAATGCCTGACGACACCTAGTAAGTCCTCGTTTACCACCGTCGTAGGGACGCTTGGGAAGACCAAGGGGTCCACGATTTGTTTCTTCACCTTTGCAGTATTTAGCACTCCTATGTATAGGAGTCCGTCCTATAATACCAAATAATTAGCACTCGCTTGACCTCTGCATTCCTCAGCCTCGCGCGGACTCAGTCCGATGCAGGAACCGTCATGGAGAAAGACGCTGGAGGGGCATGTGTACGTTGTGGGCTCTGTAGGGTTGAGTGTGCAATTCGTCTTCACGTTGGAGCGCCACACAACCAACGATTTATACTGGGCACACTTCAACTCGACGGCACTCGAAGGTCGTAGGTCGTTGTGTTTCGGGCTGCTGGGATGGAACTCATGAGAGATGCGATAGAGCGTGGCAGTATGCCCTGTGTAGAGCTTGACAGGCCTGTTGGTATGATAAAGCCATGAACTAGGTCTTGTAAGGCTTTACTTCGCACATGTTGGCTGCACAATGCCCTAGTCTGGCCCAAGATGGTGTAGGATTTTGCCCGCCCCTGCCTGATGTACCGGTAGCGTTATACTATGTTACGACGAAAGGCCAGAGGGTGTTGCCATCTATGTACCTGTCCATAGGCAAACACTGTGCACGAGTACCCAGAAACTGCACTTTGCACCAATGAGGCCACCTCAGATTTCAAGAAGGCCTCGTCGTGGCTTGTGGATGCGTCGAGGAAACGGTCGCAAAGGAACGACGCGGCCGAGTCACGGCCATCTACCTGGATGTACAATGTGTTGTTCCGCCATGACAATGACGATTTGTGTCCATTCTTTGTCGGCCGAGCCCGAATCGCAACTTGGATGCGTTCTCCGCTTGGCATCCCAGACAAGTTCACGTTGAAGGGGCCACATTTCAAAAACGGTTACACTTACAGTACAAAGTGAAAGTGGTAGGAATCACGACACAAAACTATTGGTTCTCCTCGCATACCTACACTAACGTTATGGGCAGACAAGCAGCACAATGTGATGGTTCATATACAATAATGGCGCTCTTGGAACTGGGCTGCGGCTACTGTACTGGCAGACTTATAGCGCGACCTTGTTCGTGTCGAACTTCCATCCAGCGTCCATCGATTACGCCACGTATTTGTTGGAAATAATTTAACGTATTACGTGATTTACTTTAACGTCAGTATTATCGAACGTTATTTGACCGTTTGTACCAATGGGCGTGTTTTACGTCAGAAGGTTTGGCGTTTTGCGCTAAAATCACCAACCAAGATCCCTGGCGAGTTACTTTTGAAAAACGAAGCATATGCATGTTGCAGATGCGCACGCCACCGTTGATGGTCGCTGCCACCGCATCCAAGGGGCACATCTTCCTCGTACTTGCGCTGGCCATGCTCTTGGCAATGCTGCAGTCCATGTCAAGGTACTTCAGCCTCGTCGTAATGTCCGTCCTTGCCGTGGGTTGGCGAACGGCTGCTCATTCACACGCCTTGAGCACACCGCCCTCCGATGAATGTTCGATTCCACCGCCATTGAACGATCTCCAACCAGTTGAAGAAGCACATGTACAAGGTTCGGCAGAGCCACAAGCACACGACGACGTGTGTGTTGGCTTGGAACACCTACGCGTGGTCGACGAAGGCAGCGCGACAAACCGCGGCATCGCCATCAACTCGGCAACGCCCGTTCCGTTCGAAAACGACTTTTTCCAGGGACATGTGTACTTCCTCGTGAAGACAACTTCTCCGAACGCCACGTGGCAGCACCTGTTTGTCGGTCGGAAGCGCAACTTTTGGATCCAGGTGCAAGGCAAGTTCAAGCGGCCACCGCGGGGCACCATCTTCATGGGCGGGGAGTTGCCTCGTTCCGTGTCGGTAGGTTTCCTGGCGCGCAGCTTGGCGCGCCTTGTGTCGAGCATGATGCGGCGCTTGCTCGGCACAACCCACGTCGGCTTTGGCGACGACGAGGAGCGTCCGCACTGCGTGTTTCCTCTCTTCCAAACCGTGGACGAGATGGTGGTCACACCTGTGGGTGCGATGCCGCCGACGCTAGGCCAAGCGCAGTTTGGCGAGACCCTCGTTGCTCAGCAACGTCGTAAGGCAACGCCGCTCGGGGGCGAAACGATTCACGTCGACGCCACGTACACGTTTCAGTTCCACACCATGTACGCGGACTTGGCCAAGTGGACCATCGTCAACGTGCCCGGCATGCAAGACGTGCCTCTGCGCACGTTTTTCCAGGACGAACCGCTCCTCTTGACGTGCTACGACCTCCGCCCCACGCCCAAGCACGACCACGCGGCCAAGCAGTACCTGTTCTGCTTCTCGATCCACTGGACTCCTCCATCCTCGTCATCATCCGTTTCCAGCACCGCCGCCTCCACATCGACATGTTCGCCGCCACACCACATAATAACCCCCTCCGCCTCCATCGCCTCACCGTCTGTCACACCTCCAACAAGTCCCCTTCCACTGTGCATTCCATATTGGCTCGAAAGACTCGACCGCAATAAGAACCGCGTGGTGGTGTACCTCGTTCGAGATCAGCCGCGGGACCGTGAACCCGAATCAAGTCCATTGAGGCAGCTCCACGAACTCCCCGCCAAGATGCTGCGGTCGCGCTTCTCGCCCTTGTCGCAGATTCACGCAACGTCCAAATTGATGCGGTACGATGCGATCGACAGCCAACGCTTGGTCGTCCAGGCCCACTCGAGTCTGCTGCACGAGGTCCCGGCCACGCCGTTTGCATGGGTCCCCGCATCCGCGTCCTCCCTGGGGGTGACCTTCCACAACCGACAGGCCAACGTAGTACTGCAGCAGCAAGTGGTGCGCGCCATGTCCGAGTCACAACTTCGACAAGAGTACCTAGTATTGACCCACAACGCCCTGCAACTGTATCGCACATTTTCGTCGACGAGTTGCGTTCAGGTTTCCTTAGAAAACATCATGGCGGTATCGCCGTGGACACTGCCGCTTGGAGAAGGCACGGCGTTAGCTCATGGCCTGCACATCCACACGAACGGGGGCCACGTGTACCTGTGTTTGCCATCGTCGCAGGCTCAAAACGAATGGCTGAGAACGATCGCCCACCAACGTTGTCGGCTGGACCCTTCAACCACAAAGTCCACGGCAAACATCACACCCTACTCAATTAAGTGGATCGACGACTTGGTCCCCCCCAGTCGCACCGGCGTGCTCAATGCGTTCCGGTTGTTTCGACCGTTGAAAAGGCAAACTGACTCAACCTTGTCGCATGCAAAGGATGAGGTCGCTGGGCTCGACTGCATGGAGGTCGCGGACGCCGCCGTTCGCGCCGCCAATGCCCTGGACACCCAACGCAAACGAATGACCGAGTTATCTGGCGACGACAACGGTATGACGTGGCAGCACGACGTGCGTGCGTTTCTCGAGGTCGTGGCCTTGCTGCGGTGGGTAAATGTCTCGACTTTGACGTGTTATGACGCCAAAGTGGCGTTTTACTTGAACGTGCACCGCGTTTTACAGTGGCATGTCGGCCAGCTCGCTCCAACCAAACATTCCAAGCACGCCGCCGCCTATTGCGTCGGGGCGTCGGCTACGCCATTGACGCTGCAGGAGCTCGAGGGGCTCGCGCTGCGTCCCCGGCATGCCGACGTTGTTAGCGCGTCGGACTTTCGCATTCGGCTGGCGCTGCACATGTCCACGTCACCCCTGCCTCGATTCGACCCACGGAGACTGCAGTACCAACTCAATGCGCTCTGCACACAGTACTTTCGCCACACGGTGGCCACGGACGTCCACCGCCATATCGTTCAACTGCCAGCGCTCTGCCTTCGCTTTCGAATGGACTATGGGCCCCAAGGTAACGGCATCGAGTGCGCGAGGAAGGTCCTGGGGTTCCTATCTAGTACGTGCGCCGAAGATGTGCAGACCATCCTCCTAGCTCACGACGAAGCGCCAGTGGACATTCAGTATGTTGACGATGCCAACGTCGTTATGGACGGAAACTTGGTGGACGACGAGTATATAGTAGATGCATAGTGTACGTAAAGTAGCTAGTAGAAGTTGTTGGATTATTTACAAATACGGCTTGACCATACAAATAAATGTGATAGAGTTCATGCAAGTACGGTATAGAACGGGCACCTCGTGCCGTTGTTGCCCAGCAAGGTACAGCAGTTACTGTATCTCAGCCGAATGTACTGTTGAATGGATCCCAGCACGAGTATGTAGCTCGTGGACCGCTCACTACACCGGCACCACCGACGGAATGGAGGCATGAAGCATAAGACTAGCCTACGTAGTTACCTCCGTCGCATCACTCGACATCGTGCTACCGTTTCGCATCTTTGTCGGTCGTTTTGATTGTTTTTGCACCGTGTCAAGGTGAAGATATCAATCCGGATAATCATTGATGACGGCGGCGGTTTTCTGCGAATCCATTGGTTGGAATGGCACTTATCCGGATGTCAGAGGCTCGTCTCCGCGATCCTTTTTAATAATTTGCCGTATCACTGAGACATTGTATGTGTCACGGACGTATTTTTATACCCGCGGTTATACCCAAGAATGACGGTTCGACGGCATTAATTCAATTGACATGACAGCTGATCCGACGTCGACGACGTGTGGGGGCCAGCCGGAATTGGAGGAAGTGCCCCCGGCGGCGCGACGAACTAGCGCCAGGTCGATCAAGTCGGACTCGTACTTCATGGGCGAGAATATTGTCCGGAGCATTGCACCGCAACGACTTGTGCTCGTGATGGTGGGCTTGCCGGCGCGAGGAAAGAGCTTCGTCGTGCGGAAACTGACCAAGTACTGCCAGTGGCTCAACCTGCCCACCCAAATCTTCAACGCCGGGGACTATCGTCGAAAAGCGAGCTTGACGGGTGCGGACGCGTCCTTCTTCGACCCGAACAATGCCGAAGCAAAGCGCTTGCGGGACGCATTAGCGATGGCCGCCGTGGCCAATCTGATCCAATGGCTGGAAGAGGGCGGCCAAGTGGCGGTGCTGGACGCCACCAACACGACAAAAGAGCGTCGTGCACTCGTATGGGACAAGTTCAAGCACATGGAAAACACCCAAGTGATGCACATCGAGCTCGTGTGCGACAACCCGTCGCTCCTGGAAGCCAACTACCTCAGGTCCTCCGATGTTGTCGTCCTCGCTACCAATCCCTCACTCTCATATGATTAGGAAGCTCAAAAACGAAGACTACGACGGCATGGACCCTCAAGTAGCGCTCAACGACTTTCGACAACGCGTGGCCAAGTACGAAAAAGTATACGAGACCGTCCAAGACAGCGAAAACGACGGAACCGTTTGCTACTGCAAAGTGTACAACGTACAAACAATAATTCTTCCCGTCGACTCCATCATGTCCATCATAACGACCTGCGATTGTATTCGTAGGCCGGTGAAAAGGTGCTGGCGCGGTACTGCCAGAACTTTATCCCGTCGCAGATCGTGTCATTCCTTCAGGTAGCGAACGTTCTTGTCTTTCTTTTACCCAAAATTTGGTTGAATTTTTGCCAAATCTATCGATCGATTCATTTTGTATGTAAAAAGGTGTCCTGCGGGGATATTGGTATCATCACACTAATTGAAGTCACACACTAATTCGACGTATAGTTGCTGATTTCCTGCAACTTGATTGGCTAAATACTTGTGCCGATTCTTCTGGTTGTGTGTCGATTCATTGTCGAATCATCGAATGATCTCAATCGAATCACGAATCGACGCTATGATTGGCTAATATCCAATTTTTTGTGTGGATTTGATTGGCTCTTACAGAAAGCACACAAGTATATTCAACCAATCAGAACTCTAGCGTGATTCAATATGAAACGACTGTTGCAAGTTTGTAGCGAATTCACCATACTGCCTACCTATATATCGTCCTCGTTCTCGTCATGCTGTTGCCGTCCTCACGTGGGGGTGGTGACATAGAACATCCATGTGCACCCGCGAAAGATTTGGCTCGTACGACCTGGGCCCAACAAAAATGGCGTCCGCGGCATCCTCGGCGGCGACGAAGAATTGACGGACGAAGGACATGCGATCGCGTCGGCGCTGGGCACGTTTATGGAGTCCGCCGTGCAGGACAACAAGGGCTACGTGGATGTGTGGCTGAGCCCCATGAAGCGAGCGACGCAGACGGCTGAGTACATTCGGCAAGACCATGTCACGCGCACGGTCACGACGACGCTGCTCAACGAAGTGGGCGGTGGCGACTTTGCCGGGTACACGTTTGAAGAGCTCGAGGCCGAGTTCCCGCAGCACGTCAAGGCGCGGCGTACGGACAAGCTGTACTACCGGTAGGACGGACCGTTGAAACTGAATGGTCGTGTGGATGGATGACGGGGGATGGATATATGGGTAGATACCCTGGCGCGGGCGGAGAGAGCTACATGGACCTGATTTTCCGCCTCCGACCGCTCGTGATTGAGTTTGAACGCAAGAAGCGCGACTGCCTTGTCATCTGCAGCGAGTCGGTCCTGCGCTGTCTCATGGGGTACTTTACCGGCGTCGACGCGGACGACGTGCCGCACCTGCCTACCAAGAAGGGCGTCGTGTTTGAGCTATCTCCGCATCGAGACGGATGCGACATCAAGCAGTTCCAGCTCGAATTTGAAGCACATAGTGAGTGATACTTAAAGTATTATTGCTGACCTCGGGCGATATACATCGAGATATAACTACTACATACTAGTACTAGTACATACTATAGTAGTAACACTACTAGTGTACTATTAATAGTACCGCCATTGTCGCAATGAAATTGTTCCAATTACTTCGAAGTACGTATTAAAATACGTACTTCGAAGTTTTAATATGTAATTACATGTGGATACTTGATTTGAGTTTATATTAATATTGAATCAACTATAACAGAATAATTGTATTCACGTATTGTGAATTCGCTACAAACTTGCAAAATTCGGTTTGTCGAATCAATCTTGAATCACGCTGAAGTTTTGATTGGTTGAATATACTTGTACAGTTGCCCTTATAAGTCCAATTGGATGTACTGTAACTATGCGGTAAGATGCCAATAGAACCACCGATGAAGTAAAGATGCCCTGTATTGTGGTGTCACTTTCTGCTATCACTAGTGATGTTGTTTTGATCCCGAGGGACTTAAAACTTCAATTCGTGGACGCGGTCGTTCTTGGTCAAGCTGAACTTGGCGTTCAAGTAGTGCTTCAAGTGGGCAGTGGCGTTGATCTTCTTGAGAAGGGCAGCGTCGACGGCCTTTTGGTCCTTCTTGCGCTGTTCCGACACAATCGCAGTCTAATCATCACGACGGATTAGCAAGTGTTAGATGGGATCTTTGGTAGGCGATTCCAAGCGCCGTTGGGTCATCACTACTCCTACCGTGCCGGCACTACACCAACCACTACACAGCTTCCATCATCGTTTCCATCACGTCGATGGAACCGACGAAGGGTAAGTGTAGTGTAGGGTGCCAGTGGTTTGTCGGCACAGGTAGGTACGTAGATATATCCCCGAGTGAATCCGAGGGACGGGGGTAGATATAAAGGGTGTTAGCATGCAACACGTACGGTGCTGGATTGGGCAAAGAATTCGTCTTCAGACTTCTTGGCGTGGGTCTTCTTCTCCTTGGCGAACGAAGCGTCGTTCAATTCAGGGAGCGTCACGTCCGAGATGTCGATCTTGGTCGACGTGGCGATGACAAACGCTTGGTTCACGCGGCGAAGGGGCACACCGTTGATCTTGTAAGGACCTACATACAACTCACATTAAGACCATGCAACTTGTCTGGGAAGCACACGCAACACATGCAGGGGCGGGGATTCCTCAGGTCTCATAATCTGAATATCCTCGGCATAAAATTTAGACTCCAACCAACCCCGTGTATGGCACCACATCAACCAAAACCAGCTGTGGAACGCCTCACGACGCCGTTCCCACAGCGGCATGGTCTCCTGCATGACACCATACGAGGGGAGGTTGAAGCATCCATGGCACGCCTCTCAGGTGTCGTTTTTCATCCTCGGAATCCATGTTGCCATCATTATGATAGAGCTTGCTGGGATACGTACCGGTGACGAGCAACGTGCCGGAAGCCAATTGCTTCAAGAACACGACGCGCTTGCCGCGGAAGCGGCCAGACAACAAGATGAGCACGGTGCCGGGGGTGATGGACGCACGGAGCTTGGCGGTCTTCACCGAGTTACGGGCAGTCTTGGCCGAAGGCAACGGCTTCGGGATGTAGTCCGTGGGGTACCACTTCTTGTTTTGGAGAGTCTTGGTGGAGACCTTCTTCACGACAGCCTTGGCCTTGGCGGCGGCGTTGAAGCGGCCGTTGGACTTGGACAACGAGTTGGCCGAGATGGCGTTGATGCCACGGGCCAACACGACGTTTTGGCGGCGGGCGACCTTCTTGGCAGGCTTGGCGGACTTGGCAGCAGCTTTAGCAGGAGCCATCTTTAATTACTTCAGAAATGACAATCCAACTACCCAACGCCAACAACTGCCACCCAATGTGCGCACCAGTCATTTCCAAGGTTGTTGTGGAAAACGTACGGATAAACACCGAATTACCGGATAATAGACCTCTGGTAATCGATATTAATGTTCACAAGGTTTCTGCGATTTCTACCAGTTTCAGACATCACTTACGTGGAACAGCGCCATGGATCTTGCGACGAAGCGACTGCGCAAAGAGTACACGGCGATGAAGAAGAAACCCGTCGAGAACATCGAAGCAGTGCCCTTGGAAACCAACATCCTGGAGTGGCATTACGTCATTCGCGGTATTGGCCTGTACGAAGGCGGGTTCTACCACGGCAAGCTCAAGTTCCCACCGGACTATCCCATGAAGCCGCCATCCGTGTACATGATCACGCCTAGCGGTCGCTTCGAATCCAACGTGCGACTTTGCCTGAGCATGTCCGACTTTCATCCAGAGACGTGGAATCCGTTGTGGTCTGTTAGCAGCATCCTCGTCGGTCTTTGTTCGTTCATGAACGAGGACACCCCCACAACCGGCAGCATTGCATCGACCGACGCGAAAAAGAAAGCCCTTGCAGAGTCCAGCCTGGCAACGAATTGCCAAAGCTCTGTCTTCCGAAAGTGTTTTCCCCATCTCGTGGAGGTGCATGAGAACCTACAGCGCCAAGCGACCGCGGCACCACAAGCTTCCGCAGCCCCAGCGGTCGCCGTGCCCAGCGAAGTAGTCCAAAAAGTCACGGATCAATAACCAAACTACTATATTATATACACAACATGCTTCATTCCAGTACTTTCGTATCCTTCACCTCTCGTGTCGCAGCGTGTAATTGTTGATATATGCACGTATTGGCATGCTGATGTCGCCAGTTACGATGTGATCCGTTCAATGTATACCCGACGCAAAATAGACAACTCAGTATGATATTTCACCTTGGACATCATATTCGAATGGAAATATATTCCTGGTTGAAGTGTATCAGTATTGTGGTGACAAGCACTTCAGTCCAACCGAAATAGAGTGACACCATGGTGAAATTCACGGGAAATGTGATGAAGGGACACTCAAGGACATCGTTTTAGCGCCCATGGCTCGTGTGCTGCAGCATCTACAAAGCCAAGTCGAAAACGACTTGTTGCACTGCAGGATCGCACGCCGCTGCCTCCACTTTGGACCAGCCGCCTCCGCCATGTACGCCGCGCCGCTCTCTAGTCGTTTGGGTTTGTTCCGCTCTGTCTGCGCATAGCTCTTGTACCAGGGGGTGTCGTGTACCTCCTGGCCTCGCATACAGTGCACCCAAGACCAACGTCATCACATATTGACACAAGTCGAATGATCACACCACATCGTTTGGACGTAGCTGGTGGCATCGAACGGTGTTGCATCGTCTTCCAAAACCGACGAACACGATGGTTGTCGGTTGAGAATCATGTCGACTCGACCCTGGTCGTCTACCGCTTTGAACGTCGAGCGGACAAACTTAGTCACGCTGTCGATCGCGTACGGCTGCATATGTATAGGGGGGCGGCTATACAGTAGCTACGCTGATACCGACTCGCATGTACAAGGCGGAAATGGTGTCCCTCTGTGAGACCACGGCCGAGCTGGAAAGAGCTGCGGTCGACCTGGAGCTCGATGATCGCGGCACTTGCCCTGAAGTGAGCGCAAATGGGAGCAGATTGCCCGCAACCACCTCGAGCTCAAGCTAAAGTCCCTTCGCGAGAATGAACAGCTTCGCACCGCTGTGGCCGTGACAGCACCAGCTCACGCAAGAGTTGGAAGCGATCATGCTCAAGAAACCTTGGCGCACGGTATCCTCACATACCCTGGATCTTTGGCGCATGCGTACATAGATGGTGAAGGCCGACGAGTGCTCCATCTCAGTGCGCATGCACAGACGCGACTGGCCGCCATCCACTGATTGCGGACCGGCAGTTGGAGAACATCGAGAGCGAACGATCACGACGGGGCTCATGGAGGCCACGAACGCTCGCTTCAGTGTGCGCCATGTCAGCCATGGCCTGGCTACGTTTGTGGAAGGGTTGACCTGCGTACAGTACCATGACCATCCATTGGAGGCAGTGGCGACTACCACGTGGAAAGCTATGAACCACATCCATGCCCGTATCGGTCGTCGTCTTCGTCATCTCTGCATCAAGTTATCATCAAGTTGATGTACGTGATCACAAACAATCCAAAACGCACGCGCGGCTTCACAACTGTCGACCATGGAGATCGATACCGACGCAATGTTTTTCCGAGTTTCGTTCCAAGCATTAGACAAAGGCCCGACCAGAGTCGTGTCGAGTGGGATCGTGAAGCGGCGTGTCCTGAGATGGCCGAAGAAGAGTTTCACGCGACATTTCACGGCTTTAGCTCGTTGATGGAGGGGTTTCTGGGAGCGGCACAAGACTGACAAACGTCCTCTACAGAACGGGTAGTCAAGTGCAAACCATCGTATTAATATCATCTCTAGTGTTGTTGGACTGCAAAGTGGGGGGAATACTGCTAACGTTACTACGTAGTAGTACATGAAAGAAAGACTTCAAGTGTAGATAGATAATAGATATATCCATCGTCATATAGAATATGTGATTTGCAAACAGAATTTACTAGTACTATTGTATAGTAAGTAGTACTACGTAGTATACGTATATGTTATTGTGTGTTAGTGGCATCCACACGCTCGACGTCATCTTCAGCGGCAAGAATCGTTTCGAAGAGCAGTCCAAACCCGTGAAACGACGTCCGAAACACTTCTTCGGCCAACTTGATCGGGTCTTTGTCTTCCACAAACGACTCGCCATCGTCGAGGTGCACTGATTCCAAGAGTGTCCGCAGCTCTGCCAGGTTGGCATCGTTCTGCCGGGGCTTCAGCACGTACTTGGCTTTGGCGTAGCCCTTGTACGTCACCAATCCATCGTCGTCGTCGGTCAGTTCCACATCAACCCTACCAGTCCACGTTCCTTCAACCAATGCACACTAACGTTACTCCTGTATGGACATGGTACGTATACCATCCATATTGGTCGCTCACATAACTATCCGCGTCAAAGGGGTGCCCTGCATCATCCAAGATGGAGCGAAACACCACGCGGACGTGGCTCGCACTGAGCTGGCGCTTCTTCAAAATGACGCTAGATTCGAGTTTCGTGGGCCCTGTTGATGCTTGGAATGCCACTCGAATCAGCACTGTGTGTTGGTCGATGCGAATCGACTACAGTAAAATAATCACACTTGTGAATCATCCAATGAGCGGTCGGTCACTTGGTACATAAGCTTGGCGGGGCTGATGCGTGGATCCCTTAGCATGAGCATGGAGATGGTTCATGGCTTTCCAAGCTGCGTTCACCACTGCGTGCAGGGACCTGCGGTACTGCACGCAACAGCACCCTTGCATATACGCGTCACTGCCGTGTTGGACGTAGCTCACGTTGAAGAGGGGATCGCGGGCCTCAATCAGCCCCGTCGTGAGCAGTTCGCTCTCGACGGTGTCCAGCTGTCGATCCGCAATCAAATGAATAGCTGCCAACCGCTGCTCTCCGTGGGCACTGAGCTTCAGCACGCGCCACTGGTCGTCGTCCAACTTCATCATCTACGCCACGAGTTCATGAAGAGATGATGCGTTGAAGAGTACCATGCGCCGAGGTTTCTTGTGCACGATGGCCTGTAGTTCTTTCGTGAGCTGGTGTTGCTCGGCCACGGCGGCGCGGAGCTGGTCATTTTCGCGCAGGGCCTTGAGCTTGAGCTCGAGCTGGTTGCGGGCGATCTGTTCCCACTTGCGCTCACTTGATGACATTCCTAGAGTACGATCATCTCTATTCCGCGCGATATCACGCACGACCTTCTCCAATTCGGCTTTGGTTTCATGGAGAGTCAGAATTTCCATCCGGGCCGTTTGAGATCGCAGCCGTCGCTTGGTGGGTTTGCCCGCCGGCGGGCCTGGCGAGTCGCTCGACGACATGTCCACGCCTTCGAGGATGCCAGCGAAGATGGAGTCATCCACGGGTGGCAGGAAGTCAAAACCGTCGCCTGCGTCCCAGACAATAATGTTGTCGTCGCTCATGTTTGTTGTTTCGAATTGTAGACAATAAAGCAAACGGTGATGTGATTGGCCAAGTCGACCATGATTGTCAAATCCAGAATGTTGTTCGACCAACATTATTGCTTACTGTAACAGTAACTTACGTACACAAACTCTATGGGCGCCACGTGCAATTTGCTCCTTGGGCTTCTTCAACGTTCACAGAGTTGATAACTTGCAGAAGTTGAGTGGCTCCAACTCGCAATCGAAAAAAGTCATTTTTGGTTGTGCGAAGTAGTGAAGTTTGGAGGTGGAAGCGACAACTTTCCAAGGAGCAATTGTGGGCACTGCAGGACGGATACTGAATGATTCGAGTTTACCTCTGTTTTAATGAGATATACGCCCATAAGAAGTACTACTGGTACTACGTAGTAACTTTACATACCGGTACAAAAGTCTTCAACGTATAGATTTGGCGAACCATCACAATAGTCTAAATTTTAGGTAAAAGAACAATAATACCATGTCAAATTGTGTGAGTATAAATTGCTACAGCACACAACCAACGCCAACAGTTTACAAATTAACGTGAAAGATCGCAGGAATTGGACGCTGTCGTGCTCAAGAAGCCCCGACGCATGGTAAAATTATACAACCTCGTCCATACCAGTACTACCAGGTATGACACGTATGTCTTGTAGATGATGAAAATGCACGACCATCAGTGGCGAGTGCTCAAGCTGAGTGCGCAAGGGGAAAAGCGGTTGGCTGCTATCCACGACATCGCTGAACGGCAACTTGAACACATGGAGTGTGAATAGAGAGAGACATTTAGCAAACTAGTAATTTGAAATTACCGAAATCAAACTTCGGGTTACTCACAGCTACGAACTTCGTGAAGGCCAAATTCCGCTCGGAATTTGGCTCAAATATACGAAATCGCATGACCATTCCGTATATTTGAGGGTCAAATTACCGAAATGTCTAAGCCAATCAAAATACATCAAAATGCAATGGGTGGTGGATTGTGCTTGCTGGACGTAATAGATGACCTGTTCATACATTTACTTCGAAGTCACTCCAATGGTTGACCCACAACCTCGACCACCAGCCAAGTACGTTGCATGGAGGGAAGACCTGGAGGTTGCCCTCCTGCGTGAGGTGACACGAATCGAACCATTCGCAGCAGACCACGGCGAGCTGCTGCAGCGATGGAAGTTGGTTGCAAGTGGCCTTAGTGACCAAGTACCCAAGATCAACTACCGCAGTGCCCGTGAGCATGTTGGCGT